CCACCACCCGCCAAACCAACACCCATCCCTGCCCCATAGGGGTGGGGATGGGGCAGGTCTCCCACTTGACCCGCCCCACTAACATCCCTAGTCACATCCCCCTCAAAGACAACCCACCTCCTTTCCTCTTTAGCGGAAAGGTGGTGGTTTTTTTTTTTCTGGCAACTGTACCAACCGGAGCCTAAAACCGGTTACCGGTCACGATAATCGGTTTTGGGCTCCGGTTACCATGGAACCGGTTAAGGTGCATGGTAACCGGAGCCCAAAACCGGTTATCGTGCTCGATAACCGAAGCCCAAAATCGGTTATTGTGCGTGATAACCGGAGCCCAAAACCGGTTACCATGCGCGGTAGCCGATTTTGGGCTCCGGTTACCGCGCACGGTAGCCGGTTTTGGGCTAGGTTACCGCGTTTGCTTGAAATTAAAAAAAAAAAATTAAACCTCCACCTTCCCTCCGTCGAGGGGAGGTGGTGGATCGTCATAGAGGAGGGTGTGATGGGTCGCCGGTCAGGGTGGTTGTGGTCATCATCGATCGAAAGGAGTTGTGGGTTGCCGGGAGGATAAGGGGTGGTGAATTAGTAAGGGTACGATTGTCCATTCACACCAAATGTTGGCGGTGGTGATCGTTTTTGTTGGCGATGTTTAGCAATCCACTTTTTAAGGACGCAAGGTTCAAACACTGAATGACTTTGCATAATACACAATTTTGATAATGTCTAGACCATTGAACTAAGGGGGTATGAGCACATTCATTGGATTAAATCTAGTGGTATTAATGAAGATGTTCTCCTTTTAAATTTCATAAATTTGAAAATTTGTTACTAAAGACAATACTTTTTTTTTTGAGAAAATTAATAATGTACTGTTATAGAGTTCGAAATCAAGTAACCTGTAGACATTTACACACAAAACCTGTATTCTAAACCATTGGACTAAGGGGTATCAACACGTTGATTGCGTGAAAAGAAATTTATTAAAATGTGTTGACAATTCTGACGAAACTTTGGCATCTCCAATTAAAATTCCAGCGAAACTTTGATATCCATTACAATTCCAATAAAATTTTGTGTCCAATTTCAATTCCAGCATCGACATTAAACCAATTTCTAGCTACAAATTCTCCGAAAATTTTACAACATTAATGTATCAACCAAATTTGAATTCGGATAATTTTATTCTTCAAAAGTAATAACAATTAAATTCATCTTAATAATTGTAACCCACCGACAAAAACGACCGTTAAACAAGCCCAAGAAATAAAATCACTGGGGAAGAAATCATTGACAATCGCACCGGGGCAAATTATTCCATGACGAAACTAAGAATTCCAGATTTCTTTTTTTTTTTTTAAAGGAAGAAATTCCAGATTTCTTGAATGTTCTTCATTTGTTATTGCTATGGAGAGAGAGAAAAAATTGGAGATAGAAAAAAAAAATGAGGGAAAAAAAATCAGAGACAATTTTTTTTTGGGATTATATACTTGAATAAGGTATTTGAAGATTTAGGGTTAAATTTGAAATTCAAAGTTTAAAAGTTAAAAAAAAAAAATTTGAAATACAAATGAAAGTAAGTATGGCCCATACAAATACAAAACAAAAAAAAAAAAAAAAAATCTCTTTCCACCAATGGGAGACTTGTGTACAATATGCTTTTGTACACATAGTGTACCCCTACTCCCTCCCACGCATATGGGGTATTTATTATTTCACATTGAGTGGTTCATATGAAATTAGGAAAAATGGAAAAGAAAAATCCAACCTTCGCACTTTTTCCTTACAAAAATCCAACCTTCATTTTATTCCTCAAAAATCCAACCTTTATACCCCACCTTCTCCAACAGATCCATTTTACCTGTGACCTGATAAACAGGTAATTTTTTTTTCCCTCTAATTTTCCCTTCTCACTCTTCTTCTTTCCCTCTCCTCTCTCCTCAAACACTGAAACCACCAACCCCACCTCCGCCACCACCACCACCACTCATCACCGCTGTTTCACCTCTCCTCTCCTCCCCTCCCCCACTCTCATGCTCCCTCTCTATCTCTCTCTCACCTCCTCCTCCATGGATCAACCCTCACATGCACTCGGCTCCAGCGATATCAAGGAAATCAGAAAATTGGGTTGTGTTTCAAGCAGGTCACGGAGGTTTTTAGGGGCTAGGTTTAGGTAGGGAGAATTTCGGGGGGTTAGGGGATTATACGGTGGCTGACGTGACCAAAAAAGGGGATCGGAGGTGCAATGACGGAAATTAATGGAGGTTTTCTGATTTGGAGTTGCGGGGGCTGGGCGATTAGCGGGGTTTGGGTTTGGAGTTGGTGGCTGGGCAATGGATTTGGTGGCTGGGTGTGTGTTGGTGGCGGGGCAATGGAGTTGGTGGCTGGGCGTTTTCATTGGTGGTTGGGCGTGTATGTTGGTGGCAGTGGAAGGTGGTGGTGGTGTGTGTTGGGTTCCGGTGGGCGCGTAGGGGAGGGCGGGGGAGAGGGAGTGGTGGCAGGGGAAGGTGGTGGTGTCGTGGTCGTGGCAGGGGAAGGTGGTGGAAAAGGGGGTTTCTTAATTTTTTTTTGTTTTTTTTTTATTTTCTTTTAATTAATTTTGTTTTTTACTAATTAAAAAAATAATTAACCTATTAGTAGCTGACACGTGTCATACAACTTAGAAAAACCGGTCATTAACAGGTAATGGATCTGTCGGAGAAGATGGGGTATAAAGATTGGATTTTTGAGGAATAAAATGAAGGTTGGATTTTTATAAGGAAAAAGTGCAAAGGTTGGATTTTTCTTTTCCATTTTTCCTTAATTATGCATACTTAATTATTTATTTATGCACATATCCCAAATTCTAAAAGGACCTCATATACATTAGATATTAGCAATACCACCAATACGCTACACATAAAAATCATATAAGTTTAAATGACTCATTGATAATGCAATTGTGATTTAATATGGAGTAGGGTTTGAATATCCATAAAAGCATTTTTTCCTATTTCTTTTATTTTAAAAAAAATTATATACTCCTTTTAATGAGTAATAAATGTGTAATCATTTTTTAACTTATCAACAAATTTAAAGCCTATTGATGTATTCTAGCTAATTTCTCAAGAGCATGAAGTATACATAACTTATTTCCCGTTTATGGGATCAAATGTAATTGTTAATTTGCAAATATATGTTTAAGGATTTTATAGAAGAAAGGGCCAAATTTTATACTACGTATTAGTCTTCTCACTTGAAATCTTTGTGTAAGACAAAATGGATCAAAGTAAGAAGATCAATAAAAATGGAGGGAGTACAAGATATTGTACATTAGACCCCTGTATTTATATCTAAGATACATGACTATAAGTCTATATTGATTCATAGCAAAATAAATAAAAACACAAGAATTAAAGTTCTTTTAAACGTTCTAAATTATTAAACGAGTTAAGAGTACAATTAGGTACTCAATTCTTCAATTTTTCACCTTTTAGGTACTCAATTTTTTTTTGCTCACCTTTTAGGTACTCAAAATTATTTTCAGGCTAATTAACTCACCACTAACCATACCTAATTAAAAAATTAATTTAAAAAAAAATAACTAATTTTTCTGTCGAAGCAGTCAAAAACTAGCCGTTATTAGGCTATTTAAAGATGTCTGAAGTAGGCAAAAAAAATGCTATGAATACAGCAGCAACAAAGTAGCAGCAAAACGGAATCAATCTAGTTTTCTTATCCTAAATTCATCATCAACAATTTTCCCAGAAAAAAAAAAAAAGTTTCTGAATAACTGCTGCTTCATCCGGTTCTTCCCCTTCTTTACTGCAGTTCAGTGTCATCCATGACAAGAAAAAAAAAATCTGAACAGAGCTTCAAGGTCAAAAAATCAGCCTCAGCCATTCTTCCCTAAACAGATACACTGACCATAATTTGAAGTTAGGCACTTCAAATTGACAACAAAAACACACATAACACCATCAATCACACATACACATTTTTATCAAAACCTCCCCTATTCTACTTCGCAAAACACATTCATTAATTCAACCCTTGCGCAAATTATACAACATGTAATCAACATCAACCAACAACACTAGCATAATCCATCAACAAACAACAAAACAACAAATTTAGCCCAAAAAACACAACAAATCGACATCATCAATTTCGTTCAAAAAACCCACAAAACCGTAAACCCTAACTCGTAAAATAAGATCATCAATTGGGTAAAAAATTCGAAATTTATTGTCAAATTAAGAACAAAAACGAGTAATGAAGATTACCTCAAAAAAATGGCTGCGCTAAGTGTCGTTTTCCCCATATCTGCCCCAAGCTTGCTCGTGTTTTTCACCAAATGCGCAGCACTTTTCTAGAAGAGGAAAGAATAAAGGGGGAATAAGAGAATACGAAAGGGGGAAAAAAATTCTGACCCGCACATTTTTTTATACGAGTGGGCCCCACTTTCAGTTAACCCAAGGTACTGAATTGTTAACCAAGGGTACCGAATTCTTAGGGGGAATTATTTTTTTTGGCTGGAAAATAGTACTCAATACCCCAACGGTGCAAAAAAAAAAAACAAAAATTTAGTACCTAAACGGTGAAAAATTGTAGAATTAAGTACCCAAATTTGTGCTTAACTCTTATTAAACTTATTTGACTAGTTAATTACGTTAGTCGGATTGATTGCTAGGCAATATAAGTTTATCGTAAAAGTGTTTAGTACATAGATGTTAAGAAATAGGTACTTTAATGTATATACTGATTAAAAAAGATGTTGAGTACTTTTTGAAGGTGTTTACAGCGTTAGGCAAGATTTTAACATGTTGAAAAACTCTTTCACGCTGAAAATCTGTAGAGGTAAGCAACAATGGAAGCATTTGATTCGATGACATACAAGCAGAGATGGAAAGTAAACTGCCTGCTGGTTTAGAAGAATACTTCTTCAGATTCTGCTAATTTGAGCATTTAAGTCAGGCAAGATATAATACAAAGTCAAAAAACTTTCTCATGCTCAAGATCTGCAAATGTAAGGAACAATGAAAGCATTCAATTCGATGACATACAAGCAGAGATGGCAACTAAACTGCCTGCTGCCTGCTGGTTTAGAAAAATACTTGTTCAGATTCTGCGAATTTGGACATTGAAGTGAGAAAGAAGTTTAGCTTTTCATCCCTGAGAAATAAAGACATGAAAATCGAAATATGGACTGCCAAGATGTATCCGCCACTGTGTATACCTAGAGTACTCGTTGACACATTCAGAATTCAAACATGAGAAATTAAAGCATATACATTACCTAGACCAAGTACATTACCAGACTCTTAATTATGAACAACACTAATACATGATACGTTGGAAGCATTCACAATTCAACACAAGACACGTGCCTCCATTTGTTTTGCTGAGAATCTGAGATGTTAACATGTTAGCATAAAAACTGTAGAACTTGTGAGTTAAAATTTCTAAAGCTCATCTTTTACTGGTGAGTTGAAAGACTCGAAACAGTGTTCATCCCAGTAGAATGGAAACTTCAATCTGGCTGCAGTATGAGGCATCGACCAATCTTCATACATAAACCTATCACATAAAAAATAAAAAATAAAAAAAAATCTTAGTTAATAATCCAATTATGGCATCCTCAAGATACAGCAGATACAAATCACATCTGATATTTATACATAAGAATGTATTGCAAATAGCAACGGTAAAACAAACTCGGTCTTTATGCATGAGAACGTATTGTAAATAGCAATGATACTATTCTAGATCCGGGGTCTATGATCTCTGGCTGCCATCGTGACGCAACTAGGTTCCCTTCCTCATTGCTATTCATGATTCAACAATGAGATGGTCGAGTATTTTAAGGCATAAGACAATGAAATAACAGTCTATCATAGTTAATCAGCAACCAGAACTCTTTAAGACGTATCTAAATAAGAGATCCACAAGCAGATTGTTTCATGTCTAGCTTTGTCCATTAAGGTCACTTCTGAGCACTATAAATCTATACTGAGTATAGTTAAAACATTAAAAGTTTGCTATGTATATAGAGGGAACTCCTCTTTGAACTTGCAGAATCTTTCAGAGTATCGCATGCAGTAGTTTATTTAGCAACCACATTTAGCCAATAACAGATACACTCATAAGACAGATTAGCCATATTGCACTGGAAATACATGTATATTCAAGATCGGTCATAAAGCAATGCATTTGGAAAATAATAATAAAAAATACAAGGTTATTTCTTTCCTTTTTAAAATCATCTCTCTTCCCATATGTTTTAATATAGTTCATATCTCAATTTCAGGGTTAGAATGTCAGGCATTAAAAAGACTACTAGGGATAAGGGCATGCAAAATGTAAAAGATATGACGACTCCATGGCAATGTCCCAAAGAAGCCATCTTGATTTGCTAACCTGGCATATATCAGATACCCTGACTAGAAACTGAAGAAGGCATGGCAAACACAATCTCACAAGTACACCTGACACTGAAACTTACAAGTATATGTTTTGTATATGATGATCTTTAATTTCTTTCATAAGACAGATTGACAGAGCATGAAAAAGTTTGCAGACTTCAGTTTAAATTCCAAGCACACCTATCACCAGATGGCAAATAATGCATACGATGTGAAACAGAAATGAGAATGAGATTAAATAAGGAAGTTCTTAAGAATACCCTTGAGTATAATTTTTTCATCAAAAGTGCCCTAGGTTTAGATTTATCCAAAAAAATTGCAACCAATTTCAATTCAAAAATTGCTCTTAACATTATAAAGTCCAATGTTTTTTACGCAAATAATGTAGTTAGCAAAGCTCCTCTCTCCCTCCTCTCTCTGACCGTCAACAGAGCTTGAATTTTCAATCACGTCTCACCCAAATGCTCATCAATATAAGTTATTATAAGCTCTGTAAATCATTATTCATTTGTCTTACATTTTCAATTAGTCACCAATTACCACCATATAGTTATTCCTTTTCTCATAGGTAATTGCAAGTTTGATGTATGACACAAGGAAATATTGGTCTTAAAAGGAAGAAGTGGCATGTTTATTATAAAGATGTTTAGGGCTAGCAACAGAACCACTAAAGTATGCCCATAATAAAACTGTTTAATTTGAGAGGTATGGTAATGTTTCCCTTAATTGATGGTTATCAGTATCCTCCCTACCTTAACTGATAATACATCATGCCATCTTCCTCGATCTCCCTCTCTGATTTGATTCCATTCCATTATAATACCAGACAATCCATAAAAGCAATGGTTACAATTAACATTTCCCTCTCTCATTGACTTAAATCCATTCTGTTTCCTCCGATCACACCAAATGCACCCAAAAAGTTTCAGCCTAATAAGACAAGCCCAAGACAACGTACAACAAAACAAACAAATAGAGTGCTATTCATTTGACAGCTTAATTCAATATCAAAGTGATGATACTCATTGGCAAGTTGTTACTTTACCAGATTCACCAGATTATATTGGAATAATCGAAAGTATGAAAAAAAATATGGTGAAATCAAGATATATTGGAATAATCAAATCCATGAGAAAACAACTACTGCCTTTGTCCTTTTTTATATTTCCTGTATTCCTCTTTGGGGTGTTCCTTTGAGATGCCCCATTGTTCTCTCCCTCTCTCTTCTCATCAATGCCTCTTGCAACACCATGTGCATAATTTTGCCTCACTTCAAAAAAAATGAAAGTAATCTTTGCTCTATGGAGCAAGCAAAAAGGGACATGAGTAAAATATCAAAAGGTAAACTTTCCAAAAATACTTTTTACATTAATCCACATCAAAAGAAAAAAGCCCCATCAGCGTAGTCACTAAAAGTAATCATAATTGCCAAAGAGCCAACAAGGGAAGAAATTTTAAATATACATAATGTTCATTGTTCAGCGACTAGTTTGATTCTAAACAAGACCTTGTATTGATGAAATATAGCTAATAGTAGTGCAGAACTTTTTTAGCTACTCTGCTATTTTTTAATAAACACAAATTAATGCAACTTTTCAGTATGCTAATATGCACTTCGAAAGTTTAAATGACTTCAGAGCATGCTCAAAAGTAAGAAAATTTGGGGAAACTATCTTGATTGACTGAGAGAAGAAAATTACACTTTGACTGGAGGACGTGATACAATAGCCAGCAGTTGCAGATCCTCACTGCTGTCAGTGTTCGAGACCTGTACATCAAAACAAAAGTCAGAGGCGTCAACTGTTGTCCATTGTAATAATAGATGCAAAAATAGAAAAGCCTGCGTACGCTTATTTACTGAGGAGAATAAAAATGATAAGGCTATCTTAACAATCCCCTCTGCAACCCGAAAGCAATAGATAAGGCACGGACCAGCAGAGTTCTTATAGACAACTCGACAAAACTTCAAATGGTAAGACAGTACCTTAAAATGCAAACATATATGGTCACAATGTCAAACTAGTTAGAATAATGACACTTTACTTTTCTCTATCTTCACAAAAAATTACCAAGATCAAGGAAAATGCAATTACAAATTCTTCTAAAAGACAGCTTGACCAAACTACTCAGATCCTAGTTATAGCTTTCAGAAGACAGGCCCCTGGGAAGCTAAAAAATCAAAGTTTGAACAAGCTGAGGTAGGTTGTGATCAATGACAGGCCACTGGGAATTATTAAAGGGATGCTGGCTTGATCATTTGAATAACACTAGGTCTGCAGAAGTAACATACTAATATAATAAGGTGTGTGCAAGGTGCAGTTTGAATTTCCACAAGGATGAGAATTGAGAACTAGGGCACATATAAACTCTATTTCTCAAGGACAAGATTACAAGGGTGCAGCTTAATAATATTTGGAAAATCAAACAGTTACCTGGCTTAAAAGTCACCAATAAGTAGTTCATTATTGGTTTCCCTTGTAATAAAGTGAGTGAGAAAAATAGAAAGTGTTGCAGAGTTGCAGTTGGAAGATTCCTTGAAACAAAAGAAGATGATTAAAGAGGATGAAAGAGTTGGGTTTAATACAAGATGGAAGAAAATTCAGCTTGACCAGGATCAAGAATATAAGTAGAGGGTGAAGCTGTGAAGTTGCCTAGAAGATGGATTGAAGTCGTATCCCTTTTTTAAAACAGTCACAATCATTTAGTGCTACACATGTTACCAAATTAGCTCAATACCACAATGATCCTTCAATTATTGTTATTATTATGTTTTTAAATATTGGTCCTGATTTCCATTCAAATCCACAGCATCCTTGCTCCTGTCAGTTACTTTCAAGCAAATTCTCTAATGTTATTTAATGCTTTGTAATACTATTTACTTATGCACTACGTAATTAAACATGGTGGTACAAGTGTTGGGTATGGGTGCATATACAAGAGTCAAAAAAGTTAGGACTTAATATCTTAGACCCAAGACATTGTCCTTGATGAACACAGATGCGAGATCATGGCATTCATAACATATATTTCTAAATTTTAAAGACTACTCCCTCCATTTTTTATACTTGTTTTATTTCTTCATGCACGGAGTTTTAGGAGAAATTGAAAAAAGTAATAAAATATGGAGGTAGTGGGGTTGGTGGAAGAATAAAAAATTGTAAAAAAACAAAAGTAGTTGAGAGAATTGGAGGAGAGGGCATATGAGTTAATAATATATAATTTATGTTGGATTCACTAGTTGAGAGAAATGATTAAATATTGTAAAAGCTTTCTAAACAAGCAAATGGAGCAAGTATTTAAAAACGGCCGGAAATGGAAAGTGGAGCAAGTATTTAAAAACGGAGGGAGTATTTATGTGAGTTTCTCATGTTAAAGGAGTGTTCACATATACATACAAACATAGCCAGACGTTTCACTTTAACTTGCATCAGTAGCATGCTAATTCTGATTAAAATAACTCCACCATCCCTCTATATAACTACATTTTGTGTTACATCTCTTGAGGTGTTCCCACTTCCCACACATCCATTTTAACATATGCATCTCCACTAAACTCATGTTCTTTACACTCTCCTTAAATTCCTAACTTCTGACCAAATACAACGATGTAATTGCCATCCCATATAATTTTCCTTTGAAGCTCAATATCATGATACAATTGCGTTCAAATCGACTTGCTCTGCTCTTTAAAGCAACTCTGCTATGCTCTTTTTTAGAGCTGCTCTGCTCTGCTATGTCCTGCCTGCTGTGTCGTGCCTGCTAAAATCTAATCTGCTCTGTTGTGCCTTACTCTCTCTGTGTGCACTGCTCAAAAGAAATCTACTCTGCTATCTGCTTTGTCTTGCTCAGGTGGCCCGGAAGCTCAAAAGAGCAGGGCCTACCATTAATATCACAAATCCACAACATCCTTGCTTCTCCCTTCCCAAGATTAAATCAGCACTTCACAGTAAAACTTTTTTTCTATATTAAGTACTACCTCTGTTTCCATTTGATCTTAACATTTACAATTTGCACAAATTTAAGAAAACTGGTGAGTGAGTGGGTGGGTACAAGAAAAAGGTGTTTAAAGTAAGAGAAAATAATGTAAAAAAGTAGATGGGTATAATAAAAAGTTTGGATAAAATAAGAGAGTGAATGAAAAGGAGAAAATATTGTGGGGTAAGAGGCAAAGTTTTCAGGATCGAGATCCTACTTTGGATCGATAGGGGGGGGGGGGTAGGATCGGATCGTAGAATCGTAAGATCCTACAAATTTGAGGAAATAAGCAACCAAATTGGTTAACTGTGCCTAGTACATGTTTCTTAAGTAAAAATAATTGTTAGAAAACACACTTTTGCTCATATATGATCGTTGTTACATAATTAAGATGATTTTACAAATATTTTAAAGCGTACATAGTCCAAATAGTATAAGAAAAACATAGTTCAAACATCATAAAAGCTAAAAAACTGAATAATCAACAAACTAACAACAACTACTCTTCATTATAACCAAAATTCTTATCATTGGCATCATCGAAGCTCTTAATTGGGTTAACCTGAAATTAAGCTACTATAGTATCAAAAGGAAATCCAGAATAATCAACATTTTTATAGCATATAATTTTATATCAAATGAACATTAATTCTTATGACTTTAAAAACCCATTAATTCTCTGTTAATCACAACAATCAACAAGAAAATAACTTTTTAAGAAAAGCAAAGTAACAATAATATGTCACTAAATTAAGAATGTTAATTAAAAAAAAAAAAAAAAGTCACAAAATTAATATGGAGTATGAAAAAAATGCAACTTCAGCAACATGTAATTGGGCATTTGAGCTGATCAACTTACCCACCAAATTTGCCTCAAAATTAATCGAATATACAAAAATTGAATAAGTAAAAAAACAAAAGTACAGCAAATTACTTCACCAAATCTCATCAATCTCATGAATTTCTAATTTCTATTGAAAAAAAAAATCGACAAGTAGTGAAGTAGTATTATTTACCTTCAATTTTGAGCTTTGATTCGAGCAAAGATCTATCAAGAGCTGCGTTTCAGTGAGTGTTAGGGCTTCAAACAGAGAAAGGAGAAACGTTTAATCTTTTGAGGTAATTATTTTGGGCCTTAAAATAAAGATTGTATGTTTTGGGCTCTATCTAAGAGTCTTTACTTAGGATCGGTAGGATCGTATTGGGATCGCGATCCCACCGATTCCACACGATCCCACACGATCCCACACGATCCTACTACGATCCTGGCTCATTTACGACTTTAGCTTCGATCCGGATCGATTTGTAATATCCGGATCGTAGGATCGTACGATCCTACGATCCGGATCGCGATTCTAACAACTATGGTAAGAGGGTAATATAGTGAAACTTGTTTATCAAGTATGAAATTGATTATTAGTCAATTAAAGATTCATTGTTTTTGTATTGTTAATACTATTAAGCTTGTTATAATAAGTAGCTAGAGACCTACAACCACGGGTTGAAATTATATATTTAGGACACGAGATGTCACGCGAATAATGCTAAGATTATTTCCATTACTATAGAGTTATTACTCCTCCGTTCCTAATTGAATGTTTACATTTGCCATCATTACTATGACCATAAAATATTTAGTTGCATATTAATATAAAATTTAATAGTTGAATATTAATAAACCACTCATTAAAAACATGACTATGTTATTTTTTTTATATTGAGAATAATTTAGAAATTTTTTCATCTTATGAATAGTGCCAATATTCCAAATGGGAAGAACAAAAAGAAACCAACGAAGTATATTTTTTTAATAACTATTGTATGTGGGTATTCCTTGGGTTTGGGAAGATTATTTAATTTCTATTCTACTAATTATATTCTGTTTAATAGTTCTATACTCTATTTAAATTATTGAACTATGTTTGGGAGTTGGGACAGATGGTGAATAAAATAAAGTGCCTTCTTGAGCCAGTTAATGTGCTATAGATGCCAATTTTGCAAGTGATTGTATTATGTATGAGCAATTATTACTTAATTGTTTTGAATCTAAGTGAGTACAGGTTGTCTTTCATGGGTAACACTATGATGGCAAACCACAAAAACGCCTTAGATCACCAAACTTAACCTCTCAATGTTAGAAGAGAATACGTAACTTCCTTAGAACTCATCAGAGGTCTAATACAAAATCCCCTAGGGATTTTTATCTCTTTAGTCTCTCTGGCATTCTGATAGTAGAATCTCAAATACACTTCCACTTGAAAAGATTTAACCCACAAAACAACCTAAATAAGACAGCATAAAAGAAATCTCCAGAACCTAAGAAATCAGCAAAAATGTATATTCAAGGCATCACCCACTTAAAAAACTTCATAGATCAAGAAAGGTTATTCTGCTTCCTCATGCATTCTTTCAGTCTTAATCATCAACAGCAAATAACATGGTGCAGGGACTCAAATATTGATAAGTAACAAAGAGTTACCTAAGTAACCTAAAATTCTAACATCTGCTGGAAAAATATTACACTGTCTGTTGAAAGATTCATGCTCCAATGTTTAGGGGTGGGAATCATTACAAGTCTTTTTCAACTTCTATTTTTGGAAATGCCTTTATAATCGTTCATCGTGTACTTCACTAATCCGGTTTTGTTAATCTCTATTATAAGGGTCAACTAGCCCATCAAAGTTCAAATTTTTTATGCTTGCCAAGGCTTTGTAGAGTCTAAATCTTCGATTGTTGATAAAAGAATTCTTTACATAGCCAAATGGCAGTCACCAAACCTGATTGGTACATTAGTTCAATCAGTTTCAATCTCAATAATGTCAGCTTTAGACAGACAATCTAATGTGAATTCCATAGTGTGCATACAGTAACCTTCTACCAACCAAAGAAGTAATTAATATTCCAGTTAACTCATATTGGTGACTCAACAAAAATCAGAATTATAGATTAATAAATACAAAATACATCAATACTTACCACATCTAGCAGAAATAATTTAGCTACCAACACTACATGGGCAGAAATCAGTTTACCTGGTGAACATCATTGACTGGGACAATGAAAGTACTGTTTGCAAAGATAGGAAAGGCTTTAGGTTGGCCAGGATATTTTCCATGTGAGTCTGAAGCAAGATAAAGTGTACCACTACCCTTCAGGACTACAAAAACTTCTTCGCACGAGTGTCTGTGAATTGGTGTCTGTGATCCAGGAGAGAAGGTTTGAAGCCACACCTCAATCTGCCATAATTAGACATAAGAAAAATTTAAGACGAGATTTAAGATCAAAACAATAACAATTTAAATAATGTGATCTCTTAAATTGTCTTAGCTATTATCATCTTTTGCTAATGTCTAAGTGGGTCTAACCATAATCATTCCCTTCAAAAAGCTTTGATTCATACCACCTAATATTAGGGGTGAGCAAAAATTCCGGGTACCCGGTTTTGGAACCGGAACTGGTTAGGACCCGGCGGGTCTAGACCCGGAAACGGTCCCACTGGGACCGGGTCCAGTTCCAAAAAATTGGACCCAGTTAAAACCAATTCCAGTTCCGGGTCTGAAAATTTTGGACCCGGTACCCACTGGGTACCCGGTATTGGAATTTTTAAAGTAAGCTTAGTATACAACCCATGAGAAAATTAGGCCCATTTGTCTATTAGCCCATAAAACCCTAGTATCATACGTAGTGGAGTATCCTTTTTGTCAGCCTCCTTCAAACATTTCTCCAATTCCTCTTTCAATCTCTCTCTACCTTTTTTACTTTTTCTCAGCTTCATCATCCAAATTGATGGATCGTTCTCTTCAATCTCCTGGCTTTCTCTTTCCTCGTCCACTTGTTCATCATTCTCGACATGAATTATCCATTCTTCTAGTGCCCTCTTTTGTTTTGTGAATATTAAAGTAAAAAGTTATAAATTCTAATTGTATAACTGTCGATAAGTGAATTGTTTTAGAAGTTGTGTTTGTTTAACATATTTTTTATGTATATTTTTTTATCTTTATTATGAATTACTAGACTTGAATTTTGCTTAGTGTTTAGATCTGGATTATTCTGATTTGTTGGAGTTATTCTAAACTTGCCTAATTTTCTACTTACAATAAAATTTGGTATTAAAAAATAGCAGTAGGGCAAGAACCGGGTACCCGGATTTGGAACTGGTACCTACCAGTTCCGGGACCAGTTCCTGAAATTTTAGACCCGGTATAACCGATTCCAATTCCAGTTCCAAATTTCAGGAACTGGTTATAACCGGGTCCGGTTCCATAAAATCCAACCGGTACCCGGTTATGCTCACCCCTACCTAATATAGTAGAACATATATACTATACCATACTATCATTGTACCACGCCATAATTTGAGGCTTTCAAAATAATAAAAACAATGCTTAAAGCTCATGAAAAACAATCGTCAAACCTCAGGAGTGTTATTGCTACACGTATTTTCCTTACAAAAATAAATGTAAAGCAGATAACATTTTACAAACTAAACCCTTTTATTACCAAGCATAACCTTTTTTGAATGTATTACCTTAGGCTATCGTTATTTCTACTAGTTAGGAAGATTTATACTCCAATAGTATATCTTGGATCCACGCATGAGGATGATCCAAAATAATATGTCACAGAGTTTACAAAAGATCTAATCATAGCTAATACATTGATTGTCCTGTTTTTTAGTCTTTAGCTCATATTCAATTATAATTTCTATTATCTACAAACTAGAATGCATGCAACATGGTTTTGTGATAAGCATCTTTTAAATCAGATCCCAAGGTGAATATTGTAAGTACCTTCACTATCAAACTGCACAATAAAATTATCCCAATTCTTCCCAGCTCCCACTTTCACCCTTTTATGAATTGCCCAAACTTCTGATAAGACTCTTCAATTTTCTTGATAAGCAAGGATCCTTTCTTCCTCTTTGTTTCAGTAAATACCAACTTAATTGAACAATATTGTGGCTCTTCCATGTTGTAATAGAAAAAATAAGTGGGAGAGAAGGTATCATCTAGGGAAGTTGCTTGAATAATATGATAGGCAATTATATGTATATTTTTACGAATGCTAAAGCTTGTAACGAACAAGGTACATATAAAATAAATAGGGTTACATTCAACTTATACAGGGGAGTGTGTTCGCACTTCGTAGTTAAGAATTTACAGATTTTGAAAGCTTCTAGCTACTATAAAAATGAGAGATGAGAAATGGTCGATTTATATAACCATGATACTTGCCTCTTTCAAGCCATGAATGAGAGACCCAGCAAGGGTAATGTGAGAAAGGCCTTCTCTACCATAATTATTTTGGGGAAGCTCACTTATATTCCTCACAAGTGGAAATCCTGCATCAACAGCAGACTACAATAAAAAATTCTGCACCGATATGCTAACCTGACTAGAAAAACAAAGCACTATGAGCTTCTCCATGTTAATTCGGTATCTCTTGCATCCATAAAAACCAATGACCTTGAATTGAAGATCTCAGATTCCATCTTATTCCAACTCATATGTTCATGTCCAAACATTTGCACAGTTCCTTGTATATTGGTTTAAGATTCATCTTTATTAACAACTCCTACACTTGACCAAAGAAACAAATTATTTAAAGTGGGGGGTATTTGATTGTCATCATAGAAAATTTAAAAATAAAACTTTGACTCATTATACAGATAATGTTTAAAGTGGGAGTACTAGATTGTCATCATAGATTCATTACTATTAACAACTCCTTCTATAGCTAATATTTCCTCATAATTGTTGTCTTTAGTTTATAAGCAAAACTCTAAACAAAAACTATGTTACTCGGACTCTTAATTTGACTTCAAGTACTCGCCGCAAACATGGTAGAGAACACTTAGACACTTCAAGTACTCGCCGTACCCACGTTCCTGAGTCCGACTAACATAGAGAAATATAACAAACAGGCCCTTTGTTGGCGGTTTTACTCTTTTGTTTCTTTCTTTCACTTTTTGCAATGTTATTTGCATTGTTCATATATCACAGTATTTTTTTGTAATTTTTCTGGATATAATTACAGTTTTGCATCAGTAATGTTAAATTTCATACCCGTTATAAAGGTTGGCTAAACCGAAAAGTTTAACTGTTAATCAACCCATCAACAATTCAATACCAGCACAAAATTAAGATGTTGCACTATGAATTTCCTTAGTGTATCAGTAACTCTAACAAAAATCCTGGGTATAAACCAATTACAGGCAATTCAATTGTCCGAAAATCGAAACGATAAATTTATCATCACACAATACATTATAAAAACAATATAATAACCCCTTTATTCATTAATTCATTTTCAAAGTATCAATGATGCATTGTAACATTGAGCATAAATTGCATATAACAAAGCAACCCCAGATATTAATATGAGATTTTAGCAGAGAATTAAAAGCTCACCATTAATGAAGCAATCTGAAGCTAAGAGGGTTGCTGCTAGGAGAAGCCAACTGAGAAGCACAATAGGCAGTAGATAAGCTTTAAACTGATACATTTCTCTCTCGCAATTGGGGTTCTTCTGGAATTTCCCAATGGCATAAACCAAACAAGATATTGAATGGAAGTTTCTCGGCTAATAAAACTAGGAAAAAATACAGTTTATAATTTGTTTATCTAATTCCATTTTCGGAAATAAACTAACAAAAAATCTTTCGTAAATAAGTAAATATTGATGGGACCCGTATATTAATAAAAGTTGTTCATTTATTTACAAAAATATCATGCTGACTGGGATGAATTCTTTATATTTGTAACTCTTGTAAAAGTCCATAGCACATTTACTGTAGCACCCAAAATGCTCCCAGATGTAATGTTCATTAGGAACAAGGAAATACCCACCCTGCCATTTGTCTCCCTTGCTTGAGCGCCTAAATTTCAAGGGTATTGTTGTCTTTTTAGTTTTTATCATTGCTTGGTGTATAATTGTCAGCTGCTTTTTGCCACGTGTACAATTCTACTTACTTTATTTGAGGATTTTTCCTTGCATTATTGCTCTGAATTTTCTTCTATTGCGCTATTTATCATTGTTTTGTCTAATTAATTTGCTGATTTTTTTTTTCTTGCAGTGCATAGTTCAATGGCGAAATTCGGCGGAATCTGGGTTCCTGCTGCTTTATATGTGATAGCTATTGACTATACGGTATTTTTTTTTTTTTTTTGGCTTTTTTTTGGGCTGGGGGGGGGGGGGAGTTGTTATTGTTGAGGTGTATGGTGGTCTGTGTTTGCTTGGTTATGTTTGATTGTGTAGATTACCGTTTAAATTAGGATTGTGATCTGCATTCTTATGTAATATAAGCAAATGCTCTGGTTTGTTCAGCTCGTGTTTATCGACAGTGGTGTTGGCAATTATTTTGTCCTGTAAAATTAATAGATTGATTTTTATCTTAGAATAGAGGATGTTTAGTTTCTGAGGTTGAAAACAATATTGTGATGTACTTCTTTGTTCTATTAAAATTATTTTGTACTCTAAAATTAATAAATTAATTTCTATGTGGCCTTATATTGTCTTGATTTTAGAATAGAGGATATTTAGCTTATGAGGTTGAAAATAATGAGTAGTGATAGACCACTACCAGGCCCATACTAGGGGCAAAAATGTAATTTCACGTAAAACTTACTCATGTTGTAAAAATGCAGTCTCTCTCCTCTCAATAACAGTATATAAATTATGAATAACAGTATAAAAACCAATAATAACAATATACAAACCAATAATAAAAGTATAGAAATTAATAATAACTGAGCACCGACAAAAAACTACCGGCGTCAATTTCGACCGAACTCAGCGATTTCCAACACAGAACTCACCGTTTTTAATGGCTAGAGCCATAAGTTTGTGTCTCTTGTTTTTGGGTTATGTTTTTTTGGGTGGTTTTCGGTGATTTTTAATGGAGGTAGTTGCATGTTTTTGGATTTCGACCAAGGTAGTAGCCGGTGGGGTGGGCTTCTTGTTGTCGGAGGTGAAGGTGCGGTGGGCGGAGGTTTGGCCGGCAATGGGAGCTATCTATGGAGGTGGGGAAAAGGGTTTAAAGAAGGAAGAAGATGAAGAGGAAAGGGGAAAAAAAAGGAAAAAGAAAAAAAAATTGTGGTATTGGGTAGTATTACCCATACCATGGTAGTGGGTAATACTTACTCGAAAATAATAGTGTGATGTATTTCTTTGCTCTATTAAAATATATAATAGGTGTATTGTACTTTAACATTGAGGTTGAAAATAATATTGTGATGTATTTCTTTGCTCTATTAAAATATATAATAGGTGTATTGTACTTTAACATTAATAAAATAATATTGATTATGGCCTATTGTACTGTAAAATTAATAAAATAATTTCTATATGGCCTTGCTTTTATTTGTTGTGAATTTAGAATTCTTAAAATAGAAGATATTTAGTTTCTGAGGTTTAAAATGTTATTGTCATGTACTTTTATGTATTAAAATATATAGAAGGTGTACTTTGATTTATTTCTTTGCTTTTATGCAAGTGCATAGTTCATGTTTGGCTTGTATTCATTCCTTTCTTTCTTATTTGTGCTGTGTAAAGAGAAGTTGCTACTATGAAACTATTGTTCTATGGCTATTTTGATAAAAAAAATTAAAAAAAAAAAAAAAAAAAAAAAAAAAACTGCAATGTAATGGATGATTTCTACTAAAAACTTAATTATACAGACACATTTGCTAATTGACATAGTGATTCCTAGATTTTAAGAGTACTTGACATTCTGGACTTTAAATGAACTATAATTGTTAGTTTAGTTGTTGATTTATGTGGAGTACTTGACATTCTGGACTTTAAATGAACTATAATTGTTAGTTTAGTTGTTGATTTATGTGCTTCTGCCAGTTTTGTAGTTCTTTGAAGATTTAGTCTAAATAATATTGCTTTTGTTGTATTTGTGTGTGTTTTTCTTTTCTTTTTTCCTTCCATCTTCTTGGCAAGATAAAAAAGGATTATAGGAAACTGAATCTTGAGCCAGCTGTGGTGGTGATCCTGTTTATTACTACTATTGGTAAGTCTATAAGGTGAATTTAAAGTGGAATTTTAAATGAGTGTATGGTTTCTTAACTGGATTGTTTTTAGATCTTAGCATTTTATGAGTGTGTATGATTAGTTGGTGGTTATTTTGCTTTAATTAAGATGCTATCTCTGTCACTTAAAGGTTATGGCTATTCAGCCCAACAAAATTACCATTCCATTTCGACCTCTATTAGGTCAAGTCGTTGCCTGTTTGAATTTTCCTGAACCAGTGTATGGTTACATAGATAAAGATAAGAACAATGCTTTTGTTCGTGTTAAAACTGAATGTGGCAAATCTGAGTTTGTATTCTTTGGTGGAGAAGCTAATACAATTCAGGAGTCACAGGAAAGAGCAGCTCAAAAAGCTGTGCGGAAAATGATCAGCCAGTATGGTGTGCAGGTCAATGATTTTACAGCTGATAGAGCAAAAATGTATCAGTTGTGTAGTAAGCTTTATAGGCATAAGGTCGTCGAGTTATGTCGTGAAAACGGAATAGAATTGCCTATGACTCAAGGCAGTTTAGGAAGAACACCTGGGGATGTTGTCCATGTAACGATTAATTATGTTGTGATGTTGTTACGAAGACATGAGTAGAAGTGAGTTCATTGGAGACTGTTTGGGTTGAAGGTTTAGGTTTTGTGTCTTGGCTAACGGTGTCCTGCCCCCACAAAGGAACTGGTATGGAGTGCATTTACAGTGAACCTTGTCCTGATGAAGTAGCTGGTGCAAGGCAAAAGGCTGCTAAAAGAGCTGTACATTACCTGGTCATCCAGTATAACTTAGAGATTATAGATGCTAATTATGGGCTTGCTTTAGAGAAGGGTGCTGCTTGTTCTGCTTTAAAGAGTAAATTTTACCAATTCAAGGAGAGGCTAGCTGCCAGAGGTGAACATATTGCTGAAGGAAGTTGTATGACTCCTAAATCTGAAAGTTATCAAATTCCTAAGCCTGTTATTCCACCACCTGCTCCAATGAAGCGACGCTCAAGTGCAGCAATGGATACTGCATCTTCTTCTGCTATCAGAGTTACTGAACCTTTGATTTCTGGCATTCCTGAACTAGAGACTGTTTGGAAGCGTGCAAATTCGTTTAAGTTGCTTAGTATCTTAGTTTATAGTTAGTTTGGCATATTGTATGCCCGATTATGGGTTCTTAGGCTTCTACTTTGCTTTTGGTGCTTAGTTTTATTGCTTGCTTTTAGTATGTTGAAACAACTAGAAAGAAATTGCATGTATGCTATGACTTGAATATGATGTAATGCCCTTTCTAAATCAATGAATGCACCTTTTGATTTGGTTATTTAACTGCATATTCTTTTATCTCATGCATAAAAATCTTATTTCTGTATTGGATGTTGTTTGCGAATTAGTGATTAAAACAATATATATTTCCTGTAAAACTCAGTAAAATGTCGGATACTGGGTTAACTGGAAAAAATTAATACTAGCCTGTTGGTTTTGGTTTTGTGCATAAATAAGGAGACAGAAAACCACTGCAGACTTTGTTGGAGGTGTCTGCATGATCTAGATGTAATTTGCTCTGTACCAGGTGATATGGGTACGTTTGTGCAATTAAATCATATTAGAAAAAAGAGTTTTTTTGTTTAAATCCTGTATTTTTTTGTTCTATGCTAGCACCTTAACTGTTCAAAATATTCTTATAATAGCTGAGTGACAGGGTAAAGTCGTATCCCCTAATCAAAAATAATTACCTAAGTCCTCTAACTAAAGTAGATAGGGAAGTAGGGTCGAACTCCACAGGGAAACAAGTCTTTCTATTCCTAATTAACTAATATAATCTAGATTATTAGGCAACCAATATGTGAATTTGAATGTAAAATTAAACTACGAAGATTAAGAATAAGGAGAGAATAATATATAAAAGGATCTAGGGCATAGGTTCACCAATAAATAATATTCCAGGGTAGAATATAATAATCATTCATCAATGCATATATTAATCAGATTAAAAAAGGGCTTTCGCTACGTATTATAATCACACAATTAATTTACCGGTATTAAATCTCATCTTTCGAATCTCGACCTAACCATTTATAAATTAACCTGCCTATTGAAACTAGACCTAAACATCAATTCTCATCTGTCAAATCTCGAATCAATATTGTCAAACTCATGCATAAAAGATCAGGCCTAATCTAGTCACAGAGCATTAAATCAATCAATAGGAAATTAATCTAGCATTGACAATTAACAACAATAAATTACCCCTTCATATTATTTATGGATCCCCATTAACCCTAGAAATAGAACTACTCACACATAATTAAAATTAAGGGAAATTCTCTTTGGTGAACTCCAAGTTTTTACTTTTCTAAGTGGTAAACGTTCTTAAATTTTATTATCAATGGTAAACCTAAATTATTGATTACCATTGATAAGTGTTATTTTAATAAAAATCCTTAACTATAGTTAGTTTTTTTTTTAAAATAATTAATTTATTATAGAAATATTTTTCAAAAAAAAAAAAAAACCAAACCCCCCTACCCAACCAGCAGCCCCTCCCCCTCCACCACTGTCAGCCCCGACCACCAGCCCAACCCCCAACCTGATTTACCCCGAC